TATTAGTAAAGTTGCTTATGTTAACCTTCCACCTGATCCAAGATTTATGTTACTGTGGGATGAATCAGTTCTGCTCAATCAAAGGAAAAATTTATGTTTAATTAAAATCGCAGCAAAGAAATGCATTGCTATACAATGGAAATCAGTACAACCACCAAGTCATATTGTATGCAGCTTAGAGAACTTTCTTCTTATTTTCATGAATAATGTTTAATCTTAAAAAAATAAATAAAAATATTCAATGTTTGAGAAGACTTGGGGTAAACTGATTGAATACATGAATAACTTGGATGTTACATTGACTGAAAATACAGATGGACAATAATGACTTCATTGCTTTAATCCTTTATTTGACATCATTGTTTGTTTACTTGTTTACTTCCTCTTACACATCAACTGGATGTCTCACAAGTATATCCATTTAAGTGTTCTGTCTTGTGAGGGTGGAAAAGGGGTGGAGGGTGATTAGAAAAGAAAGAATGGTTACATGTATACTGAAATGATTCTGTAAATTATTCATGTGAAGATAATATATATATATATATATATGTATATATATATATATATATATATATATATATATATATATATATATATATATATATTCTGGCAAAACTTAGACAAGCCTTCTTTTTACCCAGCAGTAAATTGCGTTGTGGGATTCTGCCATGTAAACTATTTTGCCCAGTCTATTTCTTATAGTGGAGTCATGAACACTCACCCTAACTAAGGTCTGTAATAATTCTTTGAATGTTGTTGTAGGTTTTTTTTTTTTGACCTCTTGGGTGAGTTAACCTTAAAAATCATATACAATTCTGCAACCTGATTCAAACCTGTATCTTTCAAGACTTTTCTGACCTTTAATAATAAAAAAATACAGCTGAGGGTCAAAAGTCAGATCTTGGAGCATCAACACTTGTGTGTGGTACATATTAACAGAAGTTAGAAAGCAAGTTCTTTGGATGCTGATATGGGGTATTTTGTGACCTCTTGGGTGAGTTGTAGCTGCTCTCTTGAGGTAGCTTTTGAGGATCTTTCAGTCTACTTCACTTTCTCGGGCAGGTCCTATTTAAATTATAAATGGTTTCTTGATTGTGAACAGGTATGGCGGTAATAAGGCCAGAGTGTGGTTAGAGAAATTGAACTCAGGTGTGGGGGGACACTTTTTCACACTTCGCTGCAGTTTGAGATTTTGTTTTCCCTTTATAATAAAAACCTGGATTTAAAACAGGCACTATTTACTTATATTATCTTTGACTAAATATTTAAATTAGTATAAAAGTAATAAAACAAATGGTTTAATTAGTTTGATGATCTGAAACATTAAAGTGTGACTTAAAAAAAAACAGTATGGGGGCAAAAACTTTTTCACACCACCGCATGTATTTGTGTGTTTATTAGTGCAACTTTTGTTTGCTAAGAATGGTTTTTGTGGAATGCTCTTTTTCATTTGTCTTTTTAAATGAATTATGGATGTCATTTCTGTAATATCTCAATCTTGATATTGCTATGCAGGAAACAAATAAACCCAGAACCTTAAAAATTAACTCACTATGAAATTCCTGGCCTGACCATTGATGTCATATTCAACTGTGCAATCTGATTCAACTTTTAAGACTCTTTTGACCTTTAATAATTAAAAAAGGGTGAAAAGTCAAATCTAGAAGCGTCAAGATTAGTGTGTGGTACATATTAACAGCCGCTGGAAAGCAAAAGTGTGTGATTTATTTAGCTTTAGACTCAGGTGTGTATGTTAGCGTGTTCGTGGAAGTGAGTAGGAAGCAGCGCTGGGGTTCGCATCTGTCCTCAGTGATTCATCATCCGGCGCATGAGAGGGACATCTGTGTTTTATCTGAACACTTTCCAAACACAACCTCAGCTGAAGAGTGTGATCTGGAAATTGACTACAGCAGGTGGCGAATCCACCGCCATTCATCACTAAACTGCATCCGGGGAAGAAACAAACTACCTTGTTATTTGGATAAAGAAGGATTGTTCAGAGAACTCACACGTTGGTTTACATGACAAGAAGATTTATAAATAAACATTGTTTACAAGTGAAAAAGAAGCTTCCACAGAAGTGACAGCTGTGTCCGATTATTCGGAATAATATGTTGCATATACAAGTGTTTGAAAGCATCACATCTCAAGGTAGCTATGAAGGACACTATATTTTTGTACTTTTTTTCTGATTATATTTATTTTTGTTTCTTCTAGGTTGTTTCTCATTTTTTTAATTAAAAAAAACAGTTATAACTTACTGGAATAATGAAACTTAAAGGGCACCTATGATGTAAATCATCTTTTGTAGGCTGTTTCGACAGAACTGTGTGTAGGTACAGTGTGTCCACAGTCATTTGTAGTGATAAAAACACAATAATTTTAATTTCCTGACGTTATAAATAGGATCCGAATCCCTTCCATTTTGAGGCCCACGGCATACGCAGTGATTGACAGACGTGTCTTAACATGTCTCTTTAGTAATGCATATAATCATATACACAAACAGGATGTGCGCAAAGCAACTGGGATAAAAAGATCTGTTCAACTCTCACCTCAATGAGAGTGATCAGCTGCACCTCAAGGATGAGCTTTTCAAGTTTAGAACAATTTTAGAGCATGTTTGTAATCAATACAGTAATACATTAACAATCTCTGTGTAATTGATCACCACAGCTGCATAGTGTCAGTACAATTAAAAATGAGGATGCTTCAGTCCCGGTTGGTGGACTTAAATCAGGTTTATTTTGTACATTAACATAACGGCGGGCGAAGCAGTGGCGCAGTAGGTAATGCTGTCGCCTCAAAGCAAGAAGGTTGCTGGTTCCATCATCGGCTCAGTTGGCGTTTCTGTGTGAAGTTTGCATGTTCTCCAAGCATTCGCTTTGGTTTCCTCCGGGTGCTCCAGTTTCCCCCAGAGTCCAAAGACATGCGGTACTGGTGAATTAGGTAGGCTAAATTGTCCTTAGTGTAAGAGTGTATGTGTGAATGTTTCCCAAAGATGGGTTGTGGTTGGAAGGGCATCCGCTGCGTAAATACTTGCTGGATTAGTTGGTTGTTCATTCCGCTGTAGCGAGCCCAGATTAATAAAGGGACTAAGCCGACAAGAAAATGAATGAATGAATGAATGAATGAATGAATGAACATAATCGCATAACGGATGTCCATACAGCAGTAGATATTAATGTGTATCTTGTCACATTTGCTGTGCAAAAACAGTGAAATGTAAATGTGTGCATGCTCGTAACTTTATAACGACATTGTGTGTGACTCATCCTTGCAGAAAGGCTTGAATTAATTCCACAACAAATATATCAAATGACAGTTGGGGAAGTTCTTAATGTTGTAAGGGAGTACTGCTTCATTCTTGTGTGTCACTGTGCTGTATATCTATGTGAAAGGCAGAGATCAAAGCGATCTCTGTGGCTCTGATTCGCACGAACGGTGGGTGAGGAGCACTAGCTCATTTACATTAAAGGCACAGGCAACAAAAACAGCTACAGTGTCTTAACAGACCAAATTTCACAGATTTAAAAAGGTATAATAAATAATCTGATGGGTGTTTTGAGTTGAAACTTGACAGACACATTCTGGAGACTACAAAAGACGTATCTTAAATCTTGAAAAAGAGGTAAAAGAGGTGTCATTTAAACAGTTTAAATAGGGTCTTATTCATTTAAATCCTTCCTAAATTCCCATTTTTTCTATTTTGATTTCTTTTTAACTCAATTTTAATGGTTACATTAAAAACATTGTAATAGTTTTTTTCATCCAGAAACTTCTAAAACTGAGCAATTTATTAGAACTTAAACAAAATAAAACATATTATGACATGTTAGTTTTGGCTTAGTCCCTTTATTAATCCAGGATCGCCACAGCGGAATGAACCGCCAACTTGTCCAGCACACTTTTACGCAGCAGATACCCTTCCAGCCGCAACCCATCACTGGGAAACATCCACACACACACTCATACAATACGGACAATTTAGCCTACCCAAATCACCTGTACAGCATGTCTTTGGACTGTGGGGGAAACCGGAGCACCCGGAGGAAACCCATGCGAACACAGGGAGAACATGCAAACTCCACACAGAAACGCCAACAGAGCCTAGGATCGAACCAGCGACCCAGCAACCTTCTTGCTGTGAGGCGACAGCACTACCTACTGCGCCACTGCTTCGCCTATTTAACATTATAATATTTAACAAAATACTGTACAACAGAGGTTTACCATCAAAATGAGAACAAATAGTGAAATTTCTGCCTTGAAACTATGCACGAATAGGCTGATAGGTCAACTAATCTGCTCCTGCGTCATTAACTACATGGGGGATTGGTTGCTGTCACCTCGCCAGCCAATGAGCTTGCTCATTATACGCTGTTGTACGGCATATTTTCTGAAACCCTCCTCCACCCCAGCTCCACCTGTGTTTAGATCTGCTACGGGGGTTACATATATATTATGTTTGCAGCAGCAGCATGTTATTTACTCAGAGGGCATGTCTGTGTATATACTGGCAGTAGGAGGCCTCGGTACTTGTTCTGCCATAGTAATCAAAGCAGCAGCAGCAGCAGCGCAGCAGATTTATACCGCCAAGTCCTAATACATCAACATTGCCATATACACATTCATTACCATACTAAATCCTGAGTGTTGATGACAGAAAAAAGCTTGTGTGGTATTTCCTTTGAAAAAAAGCTTTAAATAACATTACTATTTTGAGAAGTACAGTCATGCATTTGATTTATTTATCCAAAATTTGAAAAATGACTTCAGACTTATGTCTGGGTTATGTGTTTTATGCATCATGGTCATGTTAGTGCCCTGGAAAGCAAACAAAACTCAGCTGTGTTTGTAACATCAATCTGTTCTCATTATCTGTGATGAATGTCTTTGAAGAGTCTCCTCTGCGATTGAGGTCACTGCAGACCCATCATGAAAGCCAAAGGGTGCTCGTATTGCAAAAACAGACATGGTTAAAAAAGGTTTCTCCTTACCTGGGATGACTTCAAAAAGGAACTTTCCACCTTCCTCTCCATTGCTGGGATGTTCAGTGACTCTGTTGCCAGGTAGGAAAATGGTGCCCTAGAGGAACCGAAAAAGCCAAAGGAAAATAGTAAGACCAAAACTGCAGAGGAAAGCAAGATGCATGAGAAAAATAAATCACTGTATATATGGAAAAAAATCACTGGAAAAATAGGATTGTTGCTGGAAAAAATATGTGAAAATCCCTTTTGTTAGGCTTTACATATTTCACACACACTCACACAGGGGTGGACTTAGTGATTTGGGGGTCCTACGCAATTCCATGTATAGGGCCCTAGCACTGAAACTCAAAACATTCTCTCTTTTCTTTGAAGACTAGTTTTTTCTTTTTTGTAAATAAGCTGTATGTTAAAATATATTTAAAGAGGAATCATTAATTAATGTAATTAAATTAAATTAATGTCAAATTAAATGCAAATTTAAATTCACAAATAAAAACAAATTATTCATATATTCATTCATTCATTCATTCATTTTCCTTTGGCTTAGTCCCTTTATTTCTCAGCAGTCTCAACAGCGGAATGAACTGCCAACTTATCCAGCATATGTTTTACACAATGGACGCCCTTCCAGCAGCAACCCAGTACTGGGAAACATCCATACACACTCATTCACACACATACACTACGGCCAACTTAGTTTACCTCTAGCGTATGTCTTTGAACTGTGGGGGAAACCGGAGCACCCGAAGGAAACCCACGCCATCACGGGGAGAACATGCAAACTCCACACAGAAATGCCAACTGACTCAGCCGGGACTCGAACCAGCGACCTTCTTGCTGTGAAGCGACAGTGCTAAACACTGAGCCACCACGTCGCCCACATACTAACTATGTACAGTTAATTAACCATTTTTCATCATTCATTGGTTTTCTTTTCGGCTTAGTCCCTTTATTAATCTGGCAATGCCACAGTGAAATGACCGCCATTTATCCAGCATATGTTTTATGCATAAACTATGTACAGACTATTAGCAATTTTTGTTACTACATTTAATTAATAATAAAAAAAACAAGCAATTTTTAATCAGTCAAACTAATTTTGTCACCATTTTTCATATTGACTGAATAATTGCTGATACTAAAACCAGCCTGATCTCACAAAGAAACGGAACTATTTTATGTTTTGTTCAGTTTAGTGGCTAATTCGTATGAATTCATACAGTCATACGAACATGTACAATTTTAAAAAGGAGGTGTGGCACCCAACTTCGCCCCTAAACCCAATTTAAAAAGTCATTGGAGGATAAGCAAATTGTACAAATGTGATTGTACAAATTCATATGAATATGAATTGCAGTCTTTTAAATGTGACATTACTGTTTATTAATGTCATTTAACCTACCAGTTTTACCTTATCTTTTAAAGATATATTATATGTACTGTAAAGTGAAAAACATCTCTACCGTATTTTTAACAGTGGATTCTGGCAACCACAGCTGCCAGTTTTTTACTGTAAATTTGACAGTTTTCTTAATTATACCATAAGCTGTAAAACATATCTAGCTTATTTTTAAAGGTCGATTCTGGCAACCACCACTTACAGTTCTTTTTACTGTGAATTTTACAGTTCTCTTAATTATACCGTAAACTGAAAAACATCTCTACCGTATTTTTAACAGTGGATTCTGGCAACCACAGCAGCTAGGTTTTTTACTGTGAATTTAACAGTTCTCTCAATTATATCGTAAACTGAAAAACATCTCTACCGTATTTTTAACAGTGGATTCTGGCAACCACAGCAGCCAGTTTTTTTTACTGGGAATTTTACAGTTCTCTTAATTATACCGTAAACTGAAAAACATCTCTACCGTATTTTTAACAGTGGATTCTGGCAACCACAGCAGCTAGGTTTTTTACTGTGAATTTAACAGTTCTCTCAATTATATCGTAAACTGAAAAACATCTCTACCGTATTTTTAACAGTGGATTCTGGCAACCACAGCAGCCAGTTTTTTTTACTGGGAATTTTACAGTTCTCTTAATTATACCGTAAACTGAAAAACATCTCTACCGTATTTTTAACAGTGGATTCTGGCAACCACAGCTGCCAGTTTTTTACTGTGAATTTTACAGTTCTCTTAATTATACCGTAAACTGAAAAACATCTCTACCGTATTTTTAACAGTAGATTTTTTTCAACCACAGCTTACAGTTTTTCCCATAAATTTTATGGTTATTGCTTTCATAAACTAAAAAAAATTCTACTGTATTTTTTACGGTTAATTTCTGTCAAACACAGCTGCAGTTTTTTACAATAAAATTTACAGGAATTTTTTTTTTCAGTGTGAAATCGTGTTGACAAAAACTGTACCATACTGACATTAAATAATGTTTTCTGTATGATTTGCCATATGCTTTTTTCATCACTTGACAACTGTTTGCATAATAAAATGAAGTCGATCTTCCAGTGCAAAAGGCTACGAAATTTGCCTGTTGGAAACATCTCATCATCTGGGTGTTAGTTTGTAGCAAAGGAAAAATGGCAGTTCAGGGGTTACAGATGGATCCCTCGAGGCTCGGTATGACAGAAAGCAGGCGGCATAAGATTGGACAAACCTCTTGTTATTATATAGAAAGGAGATCTCGAGCAGCAGTGCGACTGCAGTGGGATTATAGATCAGTGTTTGACATGCTGGATCAACTGCTGCTTTAAATAGAGCCAATATCAGGACCATGTTACCACCACCAGTGGATTAGTAAAGCTGACTGATCTCCCCCAGTGCTCTCATCTGTCTGGCTCTTTCTCCTGCTGGCATCTCGCCCTCCTCTATCGATGTGTTGTTCCGTATCAGTTTGTCTTTTTCTGTTTGTCATTTTCTTTCATATTGCCTTACTAATAAAACAACATTACAGCCTGCAATATGTATAACGTATAGAGAAGACACAGTTTCTTTTCCTTCGCAATATTTCAGCTACTTTATTTCTCAATATGTGCAGTGTATGAACAGGCCAAAGATGTATGTCTAGAACACAGGTGTCAACTCCAGTTCCTGGAGGGTCGCAGCTCTGCACAGTTTAGCTTTACCTTTAATTTAAATTAAACTAAATAAAAAAAATTTAATAAAAATTAAACTGATCACACTAATTAAGTCCTGTTTGAAACCTGCAGGGAAGTGTGTTTAATTAGGGTTGGAACTAAACTGAGCGGGGCTGCAGCCCTCCATGAAATGGATTTGACATCCATAGCCTAGAATGTGAATGTATATCTAGAAAAAAAAAAAAAAAATCAGCAATATATAATGACTAATTTGCTTTCTGTCACATAACCAGCAATCTATTCCTGAAAGATTGCTGGCATACTACACATGTCATTCAGGAACTACATATCCCAGCATGCCTTTGCACAAACCAGTCACCATTAATCACACACAGCTGAATATCATCATCAATTGTTTGGACTATTTATACACATGGCACACACCAGTCAGTGAGGATGTTTGTCAGTACCTGTATGGTTTCAGTGAGTGTCGTCCTGTTTATAGTTTTTCTAGTTATGTTTTGATGATTGTTTTGTAACTTTTTGTACTTTGATCATCGCTTTGTTTTTGCATTTTTCGATGCCCTTCATGAAACCTGAGTTCTGGTTTTTTGACCTCCTTTGTTTTTGCCTGCATGAATAATCTTTATCATTAAATATTGCAATTGGATCCAACCTCCTGACTTCGCTCCCTTGACTCCCGGTGACACTTTCAATGTAACAATAGTTTATATATAAGAGTTATGTGATGACATGATAAAAGTCTCCAGGATCACAGTTCAGCTTTACACAGTTCAACTAAACCTTTATACTTGTCCATTATCCCTCATTTGTCAACAATACATTTCTATGTTCTTAACATATAACAGTTTTGTACAACCGCATATACTTTGTATGTAGTTTAACAAGTACAGGTCAGAATAAATATGCTTTATCATTTTTATATAAATATATATGATATGCTGTGTGACATATAGTTTTATTTAGATATATAGATTTATATATTTATAATTAGATATATAGATTTATTTAGATTTTTTTATTGTCAAATGTGCAAATCATCTCAGACTGGTTTTTTGAACATGACAAAGTGTTCGCTGTAATCAAATGGCTTCCACAGTCAACAGATCTCAATCCAATAGAGCACCTTTTGGATGTGGTGGAACGGGAGACTCGCATCATGGGCAGCCAACAAATCTGCAGCAACTGTGTGATGCTATCATGTCAATATGGACCAAAATCATTTTCCAGTACCTTGCTGAATCTATGCCACAAAGGATTAAGGCAGTTCTGAAGGCAAAAGTGGGTCCAACCCAGTACCAGTAAGGTGTACCTAATAAAGTGGCCTCTAGAATATTATGTGTATTAGTTTACAAAATCTAACTAATATATATATATATATATATATAATAGGTGAGCATAGATTTATTTTTTTAATCTAGATTAATCTCACTGTAATCTTGGAATTAATCTGGATTAATCCAGATTAAAATGGCTCATTTGAATTTTGCTGAAGGCATTCAAATTATGTTTGCTGCCCAAATAATGACTAAAAGAAAATCTTTGAAAACGCGTTTCTCAGGCCAGGTGGCGCATTAGACCAGGGGCTCATCTCCTGTTTCCAAAATGCATCCCAAACTGCTTGAGAAACTGTTCTACTGTGATAATTGGTGATGAAAATAAATGATGTTCAATAAGATGTACTTGTGTTTACTAACTGTTTATTCAGTTAAACATCAAAGTTGAACTGTAGGCCTACATAAACTCCAAACAGAGATTTTTGATTACCTTAATCCGACTAAAGTCAGAACTGAACTAAACAGAAATGGAATTAAGACATATGGAGTATGCATATATTACTGGCATTATTGAAGTAAACACTGCAAAATCCACATAAAAGACCACAGTAAAAGACCACAAACACACAAATCGCGAAAGGCAGAAGTTTTTTCTTTCCATTTGCTGTGCGTTACTAAATTCCATAACACTTTCACCAGTATATATATATATATATATATATATATATATATATATATATATATATATATATATATATATAT